GTCCTGGCAAAGCCACTGCGCAATAAAGAAGATACAAACTGGGGCTGGATCAGGGAGACTAGAAAATGAATCGGGGAGAGAGGACTGGTTTATTATTATTTTTTAAGATTTTATTTATCTGAGAGAGAAAAAAACATGATGGGGGGAGGGGCAGAGGGAGAGGAAGAAGCAGACTCCTCACTGAGCAGACAGCCCGATGTGGGGCTCGATCCCAGGACCCTGAGATCATGACCTAAGCCGAAGGCAGATGCTTAGCCGACTGAGCCACCCAGGTGCCCCGAGAGGACTGTTTTATAACCACCTGGTGGAGGGGGGAGTGTATGGAAGGCGGCGGGGATGGGGGTGAACAAACGCGGCCTATTTCCACAAGCTTCATTTAATTTATATGTAGCCTTCCCCCACTCAGTAATTGAATGTATTATTCATTTTGGCCAGCAATTGCTGCATGTGGCTTTCAGAGCAATAATAATAGGCTTTTAAGGTTCAGTGCCATAGCATTTAGAGACTGGAGTAAAAATCAGCAGATAAATTATTAAACATGAAGTGGACGCCACATTCCCGTCCCTCCTGCAGTGGCTTGAAGCGTGGGGTGAGGCAGACGAGGAGTCCAGGGCACAGACACCGAGGGCACCAACCACCCACCCAGTGTGTACCAGGCTGTTCTGACACCGCTTATCTCTGGGTGTGGACCGAGGCCATCACGGGGCAGCACAACAGAGCAAAAGCCACCCAGGGCTCTTGTCAAATAGTTCTTGGAGCAGCAAATCTTTGATGATGGGGGAGCCTTTATTTAGCTTAAGAATTTTTGTTTTGCCTTTTTTTTTTTTTTAATAGCATGAAGCCCCATCTGGGGTCCAGTCATAATAAGCTTGCCTGGGATCTACAATATTTTAGATCACGGTCCTTAGTTTCTAAGTTGGAAGAAGGATCTAGGCTTCTAGAGCCTCTACTTATAGTTCATAGCTTTGATATCAGCAGCTATCCGTTCCTAATGTTTTAAGTTATGCAAAACTCGAGAGTTCCCACGTTAAGTCTACTATTCCTGAATTTTTAAGAGGGAACCAGTTTATAATAAGATTTTAAGTTTCTTACATCAATCTAAGCTCATGAATCAATCCAAACTAATCTTCATTTTGCATAGCATCAGGGTTTTGGTGGTGGCTGTTCATTTTTGTTTCACCTTGTTTCTTGCTAACCCATCATGCCTACCAAAGCAGGCACTAGGAGAAAGTTCCACGTTTACCAACACACAACAAGGACAGGTGGGAAGAGCGGATAAGCAACACACATACGGTAAGAAAACACACAGATCAGAAGTATAATGACGATCACGAGGAGGATGGTACAGAGCATGATAGACTGGGAAGGTGCATTCAGCCAGAGTGGTGCTTCTAGCTAGAGTGGACAGCAGAAGCTACCCTCACCAGGGGAGGCTTGATTCTCATCGCCTGCTTGGTAATTAAAAACAAAAACAAAAACAAAACCAAGCAGCCGGGGGAAGATCATTTTAGAAAGAGGGAATGGCAAGTACAAAGGCTCTGAATTAGAATACCGCTTCTTATGTTCAAAGAACAGAAGCCAGCCAGTGTGGCTTAAGAATGGCATAAGAGGGACGCCTGGGTGGCTCAGTCGTCAAGCGTCTGCCTTCGGCTAAGGTCATGATCCCAGGGTCCCGGGATCGAGCCCCGCATCGGGCTCCTGGCTCAGCAAGGAGCCTGCTTCTCCCTCTCCCTCTGCCTCTCTCCCCTGCTCATGCTTTCTCTCTCTCTCTCTGTATCTCTGTGTCCCAAATGAATAAATAAAATCTTTAAAAAAAAAAAAGAATGGCGTAAGATGAGGACAAAAGGCAGGCAGGCACCAGATCGCCTGAAGACTCACAGGCAAGGTGTTTGATGTAATTCCACCTGTGGTGGGAAGCTACTGGAGTCCCCAGGAGTCAAAAGCAAAACTCAACAGACTTTGAAAAGGCTTGTGGGTAGCAATCACCTTTGAAGGCCTCGGCGCCCAGAGCTGCCCCAGGTGAGCAAAGATACAGATCAACGTGCCAGAACTGCCATGCTAAGGACCACTCTCCAACCAACCCAGAGAACCCACCCAGGGCAACGGCGGCCGGTGGCGGATGGCCAACCCCGGCGTTATAAACTGTGAGGTCAGGTGGGAGATAGGAGTGGAAGGCAGACCATCACTGAAACCATCGGCCCACCTCGTTCGGTGCCACAGAAACCAACTGTGCCCTGCAGATGCTCTATCACAGCGGTGAAGGGCCCGGCCTTGAGTCCGACAGAGCGGGGGCTGAGGAAAGGAGGAAAGGAGGCACCAACCCCCGGACCGCCTCACGTGCCTGTTGGGAGGATGAAATGAGACAGTATGTGCAAAGGGCTCGCTCCAGCCACGGTGCCTGGATCTCTGCTGGACGGCTACCTTGCTGCCGAGGCTCTGCACGCCAGCCCTTGACACACACCGTCCCAGGAGCCGACAAGCACATCCTGTAGCAAACACCTGCCTGAGGGCTTTCTCTTGGCTTGAGTACAGAGCAGGAGAGGGAGCCGGGGAGGTGATGATCTAGAAACAGCCCTCAGTCGACGACAGATGGAACAGACTCAATAACCCGACGTCGATTGGTAGCGGGAGCGGAGAGCGGACCCCAGAGAGCCCTGAGCATCCCCACCGCCGCCAGCCCCAGTCACCATCACTGCAACCATGAGCAGCAAGGCTGAGACCCAGCAGCCGCCCACCGCCGCCCCCCCACACCCGCAGCCCCCGCCCTCAGCACTGCCCACACCAAGCCCGGCACCACGGGCAGCCTCACATCGGCGGCGCCTGCCAGCGGGGACAAGAAGCTCATCACAACAAAGGTTTTGGGAACAGTAAAATGGTTCAATGTAAGAAATGGATCTGGTTTCATCAACAGGAATGACACCAAGGAAGATGTATTTGTACACCAGACTGCCGTAAAGAAGGATAACCCAGGAAGTACCCTGGCAGTGTAGGAGATGGAGAGACTGTGGAGTCTGATGTGGCTGAAGGAGAAAAGGGTGCGGAGGCAGCAAATGTGACAGGCCCGGGTGGAGTTCCAGTGCAAGGCAGTAAATACGCAGCAGACCGTAACCAGTATAGATGCTATCCACGTCGCAGGGGTCCTCCACGCAATTACCAGCAGAATTACCAGAACAGTGAGAGTGCGGAAAAGAACGAGGGATCGGAAAGCGCTCCCGATGGCCAGGCGCAACCGCGCCGGCCCTCCCGCAGGCGACGCTTCCCACCTTACTACATGCGGAGACCCTATGGGCGTCGACCACCGTATTCCCACCCTCCTGTGCAGGGAGAAGTGATGGAAGGTGCTGACAACCAGGGTGCAGGAGAACAAGGTAGACCAGTGAGACAGAATATGTACCGGGGTTATAGACCACGATTCTGCAGGGGTCCTCCTCGCCAAAGACAGCCTAGAGAGGACGGCAATGAGGAAGATAAGGAAAATCAAGGAGATGAGACCCAAGGTCAGCAGCCACCTCAACGTCGGTACTGCCGCGACTTCAATTACCGACGCAGACGCCCAGAAAACCCTAAACCACAAGATGGCCAAGAGACAAAAGCAGCCGATCCACCAGCTGAGAAGTCGTCCGCTCCCGAGGCTAAGCCGGGCGGGCTGAGTAAATGCCGGCTTACCATCTCTACCATCATCCGGTTTAGTCATCCACCACGAAGAAATGAAGATGAAAGTCCAGCAATAAGAAATGAACAAAAGACTGGAGCTGAAGACCTTAAGTGCTTGCTTTCTGCCCATTGACCAGATAAAGAGAACTATCTGCATTATCTATGCAGCATGGGGTTTTTATTATTTTTACCTAAAGAGGTCTCTTTTTGGTAATGACAAATGTGTTTAAAAAAAATAAAAACAGGGACGCCTGGGTGGCTCAGTCGTTAAGCATCTGTCTTTGGCTCAGGTCATGATCCCAGGGTCCTGGGATCGAGTCCCACATCGGGCTCCCTGCTCGGCAGGAAGCCTGCTTCTCCCTCTCCCACTCCCCCTGCTTGTGTTCCTGCTCTCGCTCTCTCTCTCTCTCTGTGTCAAATAAATAAATAAATAAAATCTTTAAAACAAAACAAAACAAAAATAAAAAACCTGGTTTTTCTCAATACATCTTTAAAGGTTTTTAAATTGTTTCATATCTGGTCAAGTTGAGATTTTTAAGAACCTCATTTTTAATTTGTAATAAAAGTTTGCAACTTGATTTTTTTTTTAAAAAATCAACAAACGGCAAGCACCCGTTAATAAAGATCTTAAATAAAAAAAAAAAAAGAGTCAATAACCCACTTCCCCTGCCCCTCAAGTGGGGCAGCGCCAAGGCCATCTGACACCCCCTCCCAGAGGTCCCCAGTGGGAATGTACCTCAGCTGCCCACAGTGGTAACCTGCCCAATAGCGCACCTTTCATTGGCTTCCTTCCCTTCTCTGTCTCAGCCCCCATCACGTGACTGACACTCTCGGGGGTTGCCACCCAAATAAACCATCTGGCTCCTCTACCTCGTACAGAAATGGGCCCTGAGCAGAATTTTTATCACTAACAGCAAGCTGTAGAGAGTATTCTTTCCATACTTATTAGTGTCTATTTGTAGGTCTCTGGGGTTTCAAACAAACATCTGCAAAAAATAAACAGCCATGTGCTGCGATGAAGCAGTCCTAACTTGTAAAATTCTCTGAGCACACCTCTCTGGGGGTGTCAAGCTGCCTGCCCTGGCCTTTGTGAGACAGGTTTCAGAAGGCCTTACAGGAAAATAGCGTCAGGCTGCCATCTGTCTGATGCTATAAATGTGGGCACGTCCAGTGTGCTTCCCACTACAGAAATAGATTTAAAACTCATCGTTTCTCGATCAGTTCTTTCCTTCCTTCTTAGAGGAATCTCACACTCACTCACTCACTCACACACACACACACACACACGCTGAGTCGGCTTCCCTAAGGAGCCAGGGAATGCTCCCAGGAGAGAATGATGGGCTTACCTTGGGAGAGGCACTGGTTGGCCAAGGCAACCTGACCAGAATGCAGGTAGAGATTGAGGCGCGTGAAGATGCCCACCAGGGAGGGAATGGTGATGAAGCAGTATGCAACACAGGCCTAGAAGGAAGGGAAGAAACACCCTTGCTGCAGCCTGGTCCTCCTGTTTTCATCCATCACATATTTTCAAGTAAAAAACACTGAAAATAACGAAATCTCCTCATTCTGAGCCCCAATTTTCTCCTCTCACCTCTGCAGCATACTCCAGCTGCCTCTTTGGGAGGAGGGGGACAGGCAAATAAGGGGCGTAAGGGGGTAAGAAAAATAAATCCTCATCTGTCATAGCAGGAAGTAAATAGGTAATGCTTTCCATTGAGCAAGAAGCAGACTTTTACACCAATTACTTAAAAATGTGGTAATTAGAAGAAATTGCTCGAAAAGGTTTTGAGCTGGTTGGCTCTGAGAAAAGAGGTATGAAGTCAGGGCAGGGACGGTATGCTCATTTCTCACTGTCCTCTTTTTGGTCCCATTCCATTTTTTTTAAAACCCAGATATGGATTGCTTTGATAAAAAGATCTTCCAGGCACAGGCATAAGCCAGAGAGAATTCAGCCGGTACAAAACTGCAATCCACCTCTTAACCCCAACCCCCCACTCCCATCACACGTATCCAAATGGAGACTTTGATCATTTCTTTTGAAAATATCAAGAAAAGTGGTTTGTTCATAGGTACTCAAGGAAAAATTAATCTGGAAAATCGATACTTAACCACCCCTAGGACACACTTGTCTTTTTCTGGGAAGAGCAACTTAGAAACTTGCAAATGAAACAACTCACTGGAGTGCCAAGTCTGGGAGGCTTATCTCTAGAACATACCCGGACAAAGGCAGCCGTCTTTCTGGAATGATTTCCTTTCATTACTTTCCTTGTTTCCATTGCCAACCGGTTTACACTCTGGATTTATTAATTTAAAAAAAAATAGAAATAATTATGGAGTGATGGCTGACTCAGATTAACGTCTTCCTAGAGATCTGGACATGAACTGTATACAAGTCAATAAGAACGAGCTACGTGGGGCCAAGACTGGTTAGCTCCAAACCCTGACATGCCAGAGGGGTCATCAGGCCTGATTCAGTCTCAGCCTTGAGCAAACATCTCCAACAGGGTAAGAACAAAAGGCACTCACTGAGTTAGTCATGCCTGTCAGTTGGCATAGTGAATGACCATTTTCTGGTTTAATGAATAGCCAGGGTTCACGTCATCTCCAGAAGTCCCACACACTAAGCTTGAGATCTTAGAGATCCTAAGAGAAACCTCCAAACCCGAGAGCCACCACACAATTCCCCTATGCAATACTAACATGAAGCGTAAGAACAAAAACAAGACCTACCACATCATACTCACAGCATACCGGTGTTGTTCTAAGAGCTGTACATTCATCAGCTCCCTTACTCCCCACAACCCTACCAAGGTGGGCATTGTTACCTCCCCCAACTTACAGAGGAGGTCTCTACCTTTAGGTCTTAAGTTCAGTAATGCCACATAACCTGCTAAGCAGCAAACAAATATATAAAAAGGTTGCTCTCCTTGAATTTACATGAAACAAAGCCGTGGGGAATCTTTCCACAAATATGAAAAGTTCGGACCTATGGTTCCCAAACTGTGTACCATGACATCTTCGAGGGTTGGAGCAAACTCATAGGGGCACCACAATGTTTTAGGGAAACAGAGCAATGTTCAATTGTTGAGCACGGGGGAAAGCACCGGCGTGAGGTAGCTCACAGATTCAACACCGGACTGCATCCTGTTCCTCACAGCGATGTCCTACCTTGGAAACTGGGTTTTCAGCAGCTGCTCTGATAAAACACAAGTACTATGCAAAAAGCAATGTGGGGAAAGAAAAATGAATGTGGAACAGGGAACAGGGTAGTGAGGCCAATCTGATGCTAAGGTTTGAGAAGTGGTATGGTGTCTAACAGGTACACATGCTTATTAGTAATTAGAATTATTTAAGAATAAAAATATATTATTTTTCATTCAATTCACATAGATTGTTATTTGAAAGAGTTATCCAGTCGTTACAGCATAAATACTTAAGTTTTTGAGTCCAACTTCTTAATCAACAGAACTGTTATTTCTTCCTTTTGGCCTGGGGGCACCATGAAAAGCTACCAAGATCCAACAATGCTCGGACTCTGGTTAAGCTATTAGAGCCTTAGGTTAATATTTCTATAACTCATCAGTGCAACCCACTTTGCTGCTGGCATACAGGAATGAGAATATGCTCATTTCAGAGAAAAAGAGGTTAAAAAAAAAAAACAACCAAAGACTTAAGCAAAATTGCAGATTTGATTAATCTTTGAGAAACCACCTTTTATGCCCTAAAGAATAGGGGTGTTATGGGGCCACAAGACTCCCAGATTAAACTCCATGCTTAGCATATAGATAATAAATATTTATTGAGAAAAGAAACGAATAAATGAAAATCCTTACGTGAATCAACTGCACAAGAACAGGTTCCAGGTTGCAAAACATTGACCTAGCCTCAACATAAAAACTGAGCTGTTGTTCAAAATCACGGCCAAAGGAAACCTAGAAGCAAGGGAAAAGATGCTGAAAATGTTATCTCTAGGGACCTGTGAGCACACACCATTGAGAAGAGTTTCCCTGAGCTTCGAGTGGTAGGGCAAGTCTGTGATGACAAGTCACCAAAAATCCCACCAGTATGAATGGGTGGAAATGCCCAAGGTATGCAAGCATGCAAACGCGTGCGCGCGCACACACACACTGGAATTTACTCCAATTAGACTTTACGTGACTTTGCCCAGCATATAACTGCGATATTACTATTACCACCTCCTCTTTATGACGTGAGCACTGGAGTAGAACATAAAAAGACCAAAGGGTAATAGAACAGAATCTCAGAATGTAAATCGGATTTCCCAGGCTAGAAGGAAACCCCTGGAAAGGAAATAATGGAATTTTGTTTGTCAGCTGTGGCCTTTTCACAGAACATAAATTTGGTTATTGGGAGCCATTGGTCAGAGGGATTTCCCTAATAAGAGCCACACCTTTCTGTTTCCTGATGGGGACTCCAAACTCAGCAACTTACGGGTGGCTGCTGGAGCCATAGGTGAAAGTTTCTCCATCAATAAAAATCCCCTCTTCTATTTCTTCAAATTTACGAACAGCTCGTTAGGAGGACAAACTTGACTGTTACAGCAATCATTTTTGCCCAGAGGAGGCTTAACGTTGCTATTTCCATTACAGCTATCAGGTTTCACATCTTATTTCCTCATATTCTTTTCCATTCTAACTTGGTGGCTCTCAGACAAAGCCATAAAGGGATAAAATACCACCCGATCAGTGCATAAATCAAGTGCAAGGAGAGTCACCTGGTAAAAGGTGCATTTCCTCCCATGACAACTGAAGGGTTAATTCTGATCTTGCATCAGAATGGATTGTTTTACCCACAGAGTCAGGTGAACGATGACACTGACCCTCTTGTGGAACAAGTCACATTTTCAGGGTCCTTTTCAAAGTGCTCTAGTTTCCTCTTGGTCAGCTTTTGTCTTGACACTTGTATTAAAACAGGATACTGGCAGCAGTTGTTACTTTAGCTTTGTGCACGAAGAACGAAAGCAAAGGTGGATCTGGCTAGGAGGGGATGGTGGGGTTGTTCCCAAAGAAGGCTGCAAGAACCCCTCCCACTCTGCTTAGCCTTTTGCAGCGTCCCTGTGGACTCTTCCCATCTGGGGGTGGGAGTCTACTCCTCCCCGCTCCAAGGCCACAGCCCCGGTCACTGCTTTGACCAACAGAGTGCAGCAGGAAGTGGCACCGGTCACTGTGTGATGGCTGGATTTTGGTCTTAGAAGGCCCTGCAGCTTCTGTCCATGCCTGCACCATATAAAAGAGCTCGGCTGAGACAGCTGGATGATGGCAGAACAGCAGAAAGAGGCCACGCCGGTGAGAAATGAGGCCCCAAGAGCCAGCACCAAGAGCCCAGACACGGGAGTGGGAACGAGGCTGTCCTGGATCCTCCATGGCCTCGATCCTGGTACACGGAGCAGCCTGGCTCCACAGTCAACCTCCAGGTTTGTTAAGAATTAATAAGACACTGTTATTTAAAGCTGCTAAGTTTTGGGGCGCCTGGGTGGCTCAGTCGGTTAAACGTCTGCCTTCAGCTCAGGTCATGATCCCATGATTCCAGGCTCTCTGCTCAGCGGGGAATCTGCTTCTCCCTCTGCCCGCCCCCGCCCGCCCACTTGTGCACGCTCTGACAAATAAACAAGATCTTAAAAGAAAAAAAAAGCTGCTAAGTTTTGGGGTGAGTTGTTATGCACCAATTTTGCCCCTCCCCCCAGCATCAGTTCACCATCACCTGATGAGCAGCACATCGGGTGCCTCAAGGAGCCCCTACTCCCCACTCCCAGGGTCCACATGATTGGGGCTGTGCAGGTGTGCATATGTCCCCCAGGCCTGGCCAGTCAGTGTGTTCCTTCCCCCTCACTGCAGCAATTCGTTCAGGTGACCCAAGTTCATCTGGAGACTCAATCCCAGGACTTCTGCTGGAGCCCTTCCTGCTGGGAACCTGGAGCTCTTCAGGGGCGTGAGCCTGTCTGGGAGGACACCGAGCGGAACCCCGAGCCCGAGACACACAGACGGCAGGTCCTGATGACACATTTTTTTATTCCTTAGGCCAGTTTGTCTTGGCTCTCTTTGCCCCCGGGGGAATGCTGGCTAATATAAGATGTTTTCTAATTTCCTCTTATCTTAATAAAAATGAAAAGCACCAGGGAACATAATGTTAACTGCTTTCACTGGAGTTAAGGACAATTACATCACATTTCCAAGTACCCTGAAACTTCTTCCCCAATACTTACCATTTTTATAAATCCATTAATCAAATATGCCAGCATTCTTTTCTCATCCTCAAGAGTGAGTGCACTAAAATCAATAATGGTACATAATTAACATTGAGGTAATAAATATAAGTTTCTAAAGAATATGTAAGAAGTAAGCAATTTAACAGGTAAGAACATTCTGCATTTTCTAGATTTAAAACACTCCCAACAGGCTGTGTTTCTTCTGATGAAAATGTATCATCTAAATGAACATAATTTAAGTGTGTTTCTCATCTCTCTCAAAGATGATGTTTTCAGGACATATCTATTAATAGCAAAGGAGAAGGAAACTTTCCTTCCCTTGGAATTTGGACAGCAAGGTCCAACTGCAAATTTTTGTATTCAACATTTCGGGATAGAAAATTTCAAACAAGCAGCAAAGTCGAAAGAATTTTACAACAAACACCCATATACACACCACCAGGATCCCACCATTATCATTTTACTATATTTGCTTTATCACATAACTACCCGCTTCCCTCTCCATCCATCAATCCAGCTCATTTTGGGGAGGCATCTTCAAGTAAATTACAGATCGCAATTGCCTCTATTTAATAGCAGTATTAATACAAACGTAAGTAAGACAATGTCACGTCCTTAAGCTTCAACTACACATGTGAAGGCCTATTAATAGTTCCCCCAGTTTTTTTTTTTTTAAAACCTTAAGAGCCTAGAGAAACAGAAGCCAAGTTTTGTGTGTTGGTTTGTCCTTTCCGTGTCCCTGGCAAAGACTGCATTCCGTCCGCTAACAAAGCAATGTACCTTTCATTCTTTGAGACTTCATTTCCCAGCCCCCTCTGTAGCTGGGTATGACCATAGGACAGTTCTGGCCAATGGGATGTGAGCACAAGTGAGGGTGAGCTGTCCAAGTTTCTCGCAGAAAGAAAACTACTATCCTCCAATGCCCGCAGGCTGTACTTGGACATGGTCGAGGTAAGCCAGCTTCCCCCAGCAAGACAGGGGCAACACCCCAGAGGGATGGCCGAGCAACAAGACAGAAGGAGCCTGGGTGGTGCTCTACAGCAGAGCGGCCCTACCCCATCTGATCTCACACCTTTAGCAAGACAGAAATAAACTTTCTATTTTACCGAAGCTAAAACCCGGTATCCTACTAAGACAAGTGCCTTTCTGATGTGTTTTGTGCCTTTATTTCTTTTTTTGTCCAACTAAAAAGCCTATGGTTCCATGTATTACAAAAAGTCTTGATATTTTAATTTTGGTAACTATTCAAGAGGTCAACAACACAAGATCATGAAAATAAAGATTCCAAAATTCAGAAGAAAAAAAAGAAATACAATTCATCTTGCTGACGGTTAAGTTCCAAAACGTTTTCTCCATTCTTGTAACATTTTCCAGTGACTCAAGCTGCTGGGCTTAAAAATTCTGTGGGGACTGAAATTTCAGCCACAAATGAGCAGGAACTGCTTCAAACACAATCAAATGGAAACATGTAAGGGAAAAAACTAGAAAGCAAAGGAGTGATACTTTGGCCTCTGATCCAGAGGTAAGGCTAACGGCTAACGCACAGGACCGAGCCGCAGGTCTACTAAACACCTAGAGCCCTTCATGTAAGGAAGAGAAGCCATTTCATTTGAATTTCAAGTAATTGGCTAATAACGAGAAAAAATGTAAAGGCTATGTTACTGGATGAGTGAACTCATTATTTTATCTGCTGCTCTCAAATCTCCAGGAGACGTGGAGTTTGAGTTCACGCCTTTTCCTCTCAACAGAAATCCCTTTGTAAAAACATCTGCCATCTCGGCGCGCCTTGGTGGTGCAGTCGATTGAGTGTCTCTTGGTTTCGGCTCAGATCACGATCTCAGGGTTGTGGGATTGAGCCCCACATCAGGCTCTGTGCTCAGCGTGGAGTCTGCTTGAAGATTCTCTCCCTCTGCCCCTGCCCCCCGACTCGCTCTTGCTCTCTCTCTCAAATCAATCAATCTTAAAAAAAAAAAAAGACCGGCCATTTAATCTTCTCAGGAAGGTTACCCTCAGCCTCTCTGTCCTCCTAGACTGGAATGTCCTCATTAGCAAGAATTTTAATAGACCCCATAAAATAATAGTATCCACAGCGGCAGCTTAATGCAGTAATTCCCCAATGTACTATTATGTGGTATTAAGACCCAATCCATGTTATGTTTCAGCCTTAAGCGTGGCTTACTTCACAGAGTCATGCATGGTCTTGCACACGTGCAAAAGCGCATTCAGAATCACAGGGTCCTTTGTGGGCTCTTGCTGATGCCTACAAGACATTTAAAGACAACAGTGTAAGTTATGTCCGCTCACAGCAATGAAGGCGCAGGCTGAGTTTCTCCTCTATCACATATATTTGAGAAATAGCAAATTACCCAGTTGGCATTGAACATGTAATGGGCAATGTTCTGGTTTTACTCTTAATTCTTCCTTCAATAACAAGTTTGCTTTTCTACACATATTATAACTTCTCCTAAAATCACGGTAAATCCTACCAAATCATGGTAAAGCTGCTGCATTTCCTAAGCCAGGCAACGGGCAGACCTGATTTTTTTACATTTCTTTCTGAAGCAGCCCACAACCCATCTACAACTGTGTTAAGTGCCAGGCAAAACTGTAATTTGGCTTTTCAAATAATATAGAAGGACAAGGTCTTATAACAAATCTTGATGTAAGTAAAGGAAGTATATTTGTTTCCAAGCATATGGAATTAATATTTCAGGAAGACAACACAAGGAAAGCTTAAAACATACATTATTCAAGCAACATCTAACTCAATTTTCCAAACCGGGGTTACTTAAGTTCCATCTTAACACACTTTATTTTACCATATCTATATATTTCATATTTAAAGCAACTTTAGGGGTGCCTGGGTGGCTCAGTCTCAGTTAAGCACTGCCTTCGGCTCAGGTCTTGATCCCAGGGTCCTAAGATCGAGCCCTCCATTGGGCTCCCTGGTCAGCGGGGAGCCTGCTTCTTCTTCTCCCTCTGCCTGCCTCTCTTTCTACTTGTGCTTTCTCTCTCTGTCAAATACATAAATAAAATCTTTAAAAAATAAAATAAAGCAACTTTAACTTTTTAAATTGAATTCTGTCCTAAAAAAAAAAAATACATGAAAATACCAATTAAACTAGTTATATATTGAATACACATTAAATTAAATATACAACTTTTCAAATCAAAATCAAAATCTCTCCTCCACGTGCCACCTAGAATTATTTCCTGTACCACCAACAGTAGGTTGTTTGGGGAAACACAGATTTAGTCAAAAGGAAAGCAACTAAATTTAAAAATCAATCACAAATCTAAGCATTGAAGACGGAAAGCTTTCTAGCTCTGCGACCTTGACAAGTATGACTTTATTTTTATCTTTTAAAATGTTACTCCTTAAGTAGTTCATTAACAGATTGCTCCTTCCAAAAACACATCAGAATACAATGTAGGTGATGGTCAGGCTCCAAATACTACTTATGGCTTTGTCTTCTTAGGCACTAATTACAAACTATCATGACTGCTCCTTGTAATGTGTTTTTCCTCACCATGTTATTTTAGATGTTAAATGCATACAGATCATTAGGCCTCCAAGGACACAGAGTGATTCTCATCCATATGCTTCACAGGGGCATTGGGAATCCAAGCTCTGGGTGACACCGTGTTACACTTACTTGATAAAAACTTCCATGATGCATTTGCAAACCTCCACCCGTACACTCTCTTTTTGGAACATGTCCAGAAACGGCAAAAATTTTTCCTAAAAGTAATAAAAAAAAAAAAGCACTCTACATGCAATTTACACAAGTTGTTGGAAGGGATTTGTTGGGTCCCTTTTTCTTTGAAGGTCAGAGCAGAGAAAGAGCTATTCATCTCTCTGAGGCAGGTCAGAGGAGGACCCACCTGAAAGCAGGTTTGTGAAAGCTCGTAGGGTTAAAACCACTTACACGCCCCAGGGGTCAGGGCTGGGGCCAGTGAACATTTTGGGAACCATCTGGGCAAGCTTCAGATGACCATGGGCTTCTCTGGGTAACAACACACAAGGTGGGCTTCTTTTTTACGATTATACTGATCAGAGAAAGAAGAGCCAGTTGTTCAGAGTGGCCCCCACATCCTGACTCTACATTTACTAACTGTGCCACCTTACTCAAGTTACTCCACCTCCTCCAGCATCAGTGTTCCCATCTGTAAAGTGGGAATCCTAACTGCTCCTACTTCCTAGCGGTGTTGTGAAAATGGTACGAGGCAACGCATGCAAAGTTCCGGCAGGGTGCTTGGGGTATGGAGAATCTCCAAAAAATAAGAGGTTCTATTTTTAAAATAAGCAAGAAACAAACAGTTCTGTGAGTGTACATGAATGGAAACCCGCAGAGGGAGGGGTGACAGGGAAGAGAATCCTCTAGATTTGTACTTGCCCAGGGCAATGCAGCCAACATGAAGGGGCATCGAGGGGTATTTTAAAATGTGAGGGACACATAAAAAAAATTTCAGCTGTCAGACAATGAGACAACTATTAGTTTGACGTACTCCAGAGTTTCAACGTTAGACTGTATGTGTGATAAAAAGCAAGTGTCCTATGAAAATCAGTGTGGAAGAGGAAAAGAGGAAGAGGACACCCAGTCTGACTCCAAGGTTTGAGAAGCTGTGTGATGTTCAAGAGGGGCACACATTCCATGAGCGAGTCATGAAAGAAATAAAGATAATATTTCTCTCTCCGTCTGGGTACTCATTTTTCAAATGCTGATTAAGTTGTTATGCCATAAATCCTGAAGTTGTTTAGACCTAACTACTTTCTAAAGGGAACTGTTAAGTATTTCTTTTGGCCTGGGACACCATGAAAACATGACTGAGACACTAAGTGAACCTCTGACTCAGACACAAATTTCCAAAGGTAATTAAGGAATGCTACTTACCACTGAGAAAAGAACGGAGAAATCATGGAAGTGGGCAATCACTTTCTTAATTATTGAATGAAGCTGCAAAACCGAACAGAAAACACATCTTTAATAAAACTTGGATATATTTTTTCAAGATTTTATCTCTAAGTAATCTCTACATCCAACGTGGGGCTCAAACTCACAACCCCGAGATCCAGCCAGGCATTCCAAAAGTTGGATATTTCTAAAAGGCAACCTTCTTTCATAATTTGAAATTACAATTACAATAAGGGAAAGCTGGGTGACTCGGGAACGGGAGATTACTGGGGGTTAAAGGTTAGGCCCTGTCTCAGTCTGAGTTTGCCCATCTTACTCTGTAGTCTTGGCGAAGCCACTTTCCAGCTTCATCTTCCTCCTCTGTAAAATGGAGAGCAAAGCAGTACCTGGCTCACTGTGAGGGTTAAATGGGATGGTTCGTGTAATGTGCTTAGAACAGTGTAGTGCCCTTCCTTGGAAAGCTATTATAAAGTCAGCTATGAATATTCAAGGGGAGGCGGCGGCAAACAGCTTCATCAAAGGGCCACAGAGCCATATCACAACTACTCAACTTGGCTACTGCAGCTCAAAAGTAGCCAGAGAGAGCATGTAAGCAAATGGGCATGGCTGGAGCCAATACAACTTTATTCACAATAGCAGGTGGTAGGCTGCATTACATTTGGTCTATGGGTCATACTTTGCACACCCCTGTTCCAGCCCATCATGGCCTGGTGTTTCTTGACGACTTCTGTGGAGAGGCAATGAACAGAGTTTGCTGGTGGAGTCAAAGGCCACATCATTACCCAAGGATGGTGGCACAGTCTCTAAGGTCAGCTCCAGATACCCGGGTACTAATGTCCACCCCCCCACACCCTGAGATGCACACAGTCCTGTTGACAGGGAGACACCACAGAGGTGCTTTTTCTAAGGAAAATATAAACCTCCGCCCCTGGTTACTGTCGTGAAGAGAAAATTTACTGACAGGTACTTTTGTTTACACTAAAAACACTGCTGTTGAAATCATTTGTTTAAATCGCTTAAGACAAGGGGCTCACAACTCATATGGGTGGCTATCCGGAATGCAGGCTGACCCCTGGGGTACCTTTCATAAATTGCTTCTAGATATGACAGAATTGTATAATGTAATTATTCCTCTCTCTCTTAGGAACGGACTGCATTAAAATTATTATGTTAAAGTCTTCAATTAAATGGGTCCCTAGGAGTCAAGGTCTTACTAAATATTCCTCAACAAAAATTCTAATGCATCTCAGTCTTCATATGCACCCAAGATCTTGCCGACCCACAAGGGTATGACCCATCTCCTCTACACGGTTCATTCACTCAGTGACGCTTATCAAGAGCCTGTTGTGCAAGACTATCACCCTGAGAAAAATGTCAGGTATTCAGTGCCTACTCAATAAATTCTAATGATGAACTATTTTAATTAGCAAATGGTGAAAACACTCTTACCAAAATGTTAGAATTCTAACCTTCTTACAAGAACATGTAATTAATTTTCTTCTACTAAGTGAAGCTAAAAATTGATCGCAATAAGTGCCAGAACGTCATGTTATTAAATAAAAAATAAAATCTTAATTAGGTTGAAAGTCACTTGACAGTAAATGAACCTTCGCTGGATTCTGTACTGGAGGAGGAAAAAATCTGCTATCAAGGACATTATTGAGTCCACTGACAAAGCTACAGTATGGACTGTGGAAGAGACAATAAGATATTAATGTTAAATTCTCTAGAGTTGATAACCAAACTGGTTATATGGAGAATGTCCTTGTTCTTAGGAAATATTCAGTGAATTCTTCAGAGGCAAAGTAGCATGATGTATGCAACTGTTTATCCTCAAAGGAGCCAGAAAAAAATTTACACACATATAGTGCATATGAGTATGTGTACACATGATAATGATAAAGCAAACATGGAAAATGTTCACAGTTGGTGAATCTGACTAAAAAAATAATGGGAGTTCAGGGGCGTCTGGGTGGCTCAATTGGTTAAGCGTCTGCCTTCGGCTCAGGTCATGATCCCAGGGTCCTGGGATCGAGTTCCGCA